AGATCATAACGTGTTTGTAACGTAAAAGAGAGGCCATTTTAAGAACATGTTGTTCTAAGACCACCAGACACGCCGCTAGTAAGACAAAAGAAATAGTAAATGATGATTTTTATATGTTCTCCTTGCCTTCTTAGAAAAATTCAGATTTTGTGTGGTATGAAATATACCTTTATTTTTCAAAGATAATTATGAAAAAGGAACCTACAACGGTGACAAATAGGAATAGTGAAGGCTCGAGACGCCTTTTGCCCTTTTGGGTAAGACATCTTTGAAGGAAATATGCCCTAGAGGCAATATTAAAGTTGTTATTTATATTTCCTTATATCATGATAAATGTTTATTATTCATGCTAGAATTGTATTAATCGGAAACTTAGTACATGTGTGAATACATAGACAAAACAAAGTGTCCCTAGTATGCCTCTACTTGACTAGCTCGTTAATCAAAGATGGTTATGTTTCCTGACCATAGACATGTGTTGTCATTTGGTGAACGGGATTACATCATTAGAGAATGATGTGATGGACAAGACCCATCTGTTAGCTTAGCATAATGATCATTAAGTTTTATTGCTACTGCTCTCTTCATGACTTATACATGTTTCTCTGACTATGAGATTATGCAACTCCCGAATACCAGAGGAACACCTTGTGTGCTATCAAATGTCACAACGTAACTGGGTGATTATAAAGATGCTTTATAGGTGTCTTTGAAGGTGTTTGTTGGGTTGGCATAGATCAAGAATATGATTTGTCACTCCATATATCGGAGAGGTATCTCTGGGCCCTCTCGGTAATGCTCATCACTATAAGCCTTGCAAGCAATGTGACTAATGAGTTAGTTGCGGGATGAAGCATTATGGAACGAGTAAAGAGACTTGCCAGTAACGAGATTGAACTAGGTATGATGATACCGACGATCGAATCTCAGGCAAGTAACATACCGATGACAAAAGGAACAACGTATGTTGTTGTGCGGTTTGACTGATAAAGATCTTCGTAGAATATGTAGGAGCCAATATGAGCATCCAGGTTCCGCTATTGGTTATTGATTGGAGCTGTGTCTCGATCATGTCTACATAGTTCTCGAACCCGTAGGGTCCGCACGCTTAACGTTCGATGACGATTTATATTATGAGTTATGTGTTTTGGTGAAGTTTATTCGGAGTCCCGGATGAGATCACAGACATGACGAGGAGTCTCGAAATGGTCGAGAGGTAAAGATTGATATATTGAAAGGTTACATTCGGACACCGGAATGGTTTCGGGAAGTATTGGATAATTTTCGGAGTATCGGGAGGTTACCGGAACCCCCTGGGGGACTATTTGGCCTTCATGGGCCCTAGTGGAGAGAGGAGGCCGGCGGCCAGGTGCTGGCGTGCCCCCAAGCCCCAATCCAAATTGGACAAGGGGTGGGGGCGCGGCCCCCCTTTTCCTTCTCCCTCTCCACTTCTTTCTGCCTTTCCCACTCCAGAAAAGGAAAGGGGAATCCTACTAGGAGTAGGGAGTCCTAGTAGGACTCCCCACACTTGGCGCGCCCCTTGGCCGGCCGCCTCCTCCCCTCCTCCTTTATATACGGGGGAAGGGGGGCACCCCAAAGGCACAACATTGTCTTAGCCATGTGCGGTGCCCCCCTCCACCGTTTACTCCTCCGATAGTACCATCGTAGTGCTTAGGCGAAGCCCTGCGTGGATCACATCATCAACACCGTCATCATACCGCCGTGCTGACCAAACTCTCCCTCGACCCTCTGCTGGATCAAGAGTTCGAGGGACGTCATCGAGCTGAACGTGTGCTGAACACAGAGGTGTCGTACGTTCGGTAGTTGGATTGGTTGGTTCGTGAAGACGTTCAACTACATCAACCACGTTAACTAACGCTTCCGCTTTCGGTCTACGAGGGTACATGGACACAATATCCCCCTCTCGTTGCTATGCATCTCCTAGATAGATCTTGCGTGATCGTAGGATTTTTTTTAAATTGCATGCTACGTTCCCCAATAATCTTGGATTAAGTAGGTAATTATTAAATCTATGAAAAAAATATTGTATGAATTTATCAAATTGTAACCTAATCAAATGAACCAAGTATACAAAATATGTACAAGTTTGAACTTGTCGTAAACAGAACATAACTATGTACCTTCTATATAGAGCAGAGTGATACATGTAGCATACTTCCTCAGAGAAATGAAGCGGAACATATTTCAAGAGAACTAATAAAGTGGAACATATTTCAAGAGAACTAATAAAAAAGCCCGTGCGTTGCAACGGGATAAAAATATATTCATGCAAATGTGTTTTTCAAAGTAGATGCACGATTTCACATCATAACATGTTTCATAACGTAAAGAGAGGCCATTGTAAGAACATGTTGTTCTAAGATCACCGGACACGCTGCTAGTAAGACAAAAAAAAAGTACATGATGATTTTTATATGTTCTCCTTGCTTTCTTAGAAAAACTCGCATTTTGTTTGGTATGAAAAATACCTTTATTTGTCCAAGATAACTATGAAAAAGGAACCTACAATGGTGACAAATAGGAGTACTGAAAGCTTGGGCGCCTTTTGCCCTTTTGGGTAAGACGTCTTGGATTAAGTAGGTAATTATTAAATCTATTAAAAAATATTGTATGAATTTACCAAATTATAACCTAATCAAATGAACCAAGTATACAAAAATATGTACAAGTTTGAACTTGTTGTAAACAGAACCTAACTATGCACCTTCTATGAGCAGAGTGATACAGGCAGCATATTTCCTCAGAGAAATGAAGCGGAACATATTTCAAGAGAATTTAGAATTTGAGGTGGACTTTTCCTAATTTGCTCATACTATTATGAAAGATTCTATTTTTTTCCAAACACTTTGGCATTGACGTACATGTAAACACATCCGGGAAGAAACAACCTGATCAAATATGCCCAATGGAATGAAAGGAAAAGAGGTGAAATACATTATGCATTGACAAGGACCAATCATTATAAGATGGTTTCCCTGAAAAGGATGCAAACTGAAAGATGGTAACTCCAAAACTTACATTCCCAAAGAAATAGCATATCTCTATAAGAAAAGGAATATCAACATAACACCTGATTTTGAAAGTTCATTATTTGTCTAAGTAACATGAAGTATAGCATCCCTGAAATATGTTGTCGATAACACCAATGTCCATGCACCAAAAGCAACCGTTCTCAGGAGGCCGAATTGGAAATTGCCAATATCAGTTGTCATGACAGACTGAGACATTTTGAAGAGAAACAACTAACCGTTAAATGATTATGATGTGTTACTGTCATTGGACTCGTTCACTCTGCTTGATATATAAGGGTGGTGGTTGATGGGTCGTCTGAAGATTAGTATCTTAGTACTCTACTTGAGGTCCATGCCCTCGTTGTGCAGCATGCATGATGCTCGTGGGCCTGAGCATCTCCGGGAGCAGCAGCTGGTCTGGACATGGAAAAGATATAACCGCCCCTGATCAAAACTACAGAAAATACATACACCTCTCTCTATACGCAAACACGCATCCCTCTTCATTTACCGCTCGACTGCTCATCCGCCCTCCCTTAAAGTTGGTCCTTCGTCCCCAAAATCCCACATCCCAAGATCGCATGAGCTTATGCGGAGGATGAGCTCAGATGAGGCGTGGCGGCGGGGAGGGGAGGGTGTTGTGGCCTGGAAGATCTTTGATCATTATTTGTTTCCGAGCATGCGTCGTGTGGCATGCGTTTCCACTGCCTTCAAGATCACATTACTCACTTTCTCTGTCAATCCCGCACCATCATCAGAGCCACATCGTGTACTAGCATCAGCGCCGCATTAATCAGGCTCTCTTTTCATTAATTTCTTCATTTGCATGTCTAACGAATCCATTAATTCCCAATCCTGTTAATTATTTCCTTGTTTTCAAGAAATGTTTGTTCTTGGCCTCTTCTCTTCATTCCACATATGAATCACGAATCCCGGGTCTCTCCTCTTCAAAGGCATTTCTTATTGATTCTTAAGTTGGCTTAATTACCGAGTTCAACTCACATATGTATATAAATTGGTCAAATTGTGTGAAAGCGGATGAGGTGAGACTAAATATATACGGGCCCTCTCTTCTTTTTACACCAACGGGCTGGTGTATGCAAGTTTGACGCACATATAAGTTCTGCGGGCCTTCAAATTGAGCACAATTGGTATTTAGTTCGGTTGGTCACAGCGGAAGAAATAGCCTCGTATGTTGCGAGTTTGGGTATCTGCTCTGGCAAATATTTTTGCCTCCTTTTATGTAATTGTACTACTGGGCCGGCTTTGTTGGGCTGCCGCACACCACGGGCGAGGTCCAGCTGAACTGTTTTTCATTTAGTTTTTGAACTGTGACTTGAATAACGAATTATTGGTACCACCTCGCGTATAGTAGACGGATGAAAATGGGGTGAACATACTAAAAAAATGGAGAAATGCATCGTCTTTTATTATTAGGTATAGATATAGATACATGGATGCGCCGTGAGGATGCAAAAAATATGCAACCAATGGTGTGCATTCAGCGTCGTACAAAAATCGGACATTTTATGCCGTACGTGAAGTAGGCTCTTTATGGATCGGTCTGCCTTAAATTGTCTTTTTCTTTCACCCGCAAAAAAATAAAAATTGTCTTCTTTTTGTCAAATCATGTCAAGTTCTTTTCGTGAAAAATGAAAAAAAAATGCCAGTTCTATTTTAGTTTGGTCGTTCTTCGGGAAATGTGTATCTTACTTTTTTTTCTTCAAAAAGGGACTCCCTAGCCTCTACATCAGAACGATGCATACGGTCACAAAATGTGTATCTTACTGTATGATGCGGGCATGAACTATTTGCGGTTGAATAGTTTTGATACGATATTTGATTCCATAAATTTTCTTTTACCAACAAATCAGAATTGCTTGGAGTGTGACAGTATGACACGAACACAATTGCAAAGGATCATGAGTTCATGACCAATCTTGAGGCATGGAAGACGAGGCATTTAGCTTAGAACACTGGGCACACACTATCCGGACCCAGGTCGACCCCTTTAGCGGTGGGGCATATGGCCAGAGGGCAGTGCTCGCCGGCCGTGCCCCACCAAACAATGCTCCGGTTCTGCATGGTGAGCGCGAAGTAGAGCAGCACCGCCATGAAGGCGACCCCTGCGTCCATCGCGGCGGAGAAGATGTAGTTGTACCTCTGCCACCACCTCTTCCGGTAGCGGAACACAAAGAAGTTGAAGATGGTCCCGACGAGCAGCCAAGAGTTGTAGTTCACGGCCGTCGCCGGCGGCATGCTGGCCGTCGCGTTGATGAGCACCGGCAGGTTGATCAGCAGTATCCATTTCTGGTCGGGGAATATCCTGTGGAAGATGTACACGACGAACGGAGACGCAGCGCCGATGAGGAAGAAGTAGTTGATGGCTGCGTAGTTGCCAAGCGGCCCGAAAATGCGCCGTGGACCAACAAGGCCCCAGATGACCGACGCGTCGAAGAAGACCCGGTCGTTGGGGCACGTCCATGGGCTATTTGCCGAGAGCTTTTCGATATGGCAGATGTTCTCGACGGAGCCCAGCAGCCACCATGCCACGCTGAGGTTGATTGTGCCGGCCACAATTGTACCGACAAACTGAGCGTGAACAGAGCGTGAAGGTCAGTAAATTTCATCTTTACACATATGTTACTGAACTCCTCTGCTTTGGAAGGTGGTCAGATTGAGGGGCTCTTTTACCTGAACAACAAACATTGATCTGGGGGGTATCTTCATGTAGTGGCCAAGCTTGAAGTCTGAGAGGAAGGCGACGGCCTGTGACATGCTCATGTAACCATACACCTTGAAGCAAACATTGGCGATGGGATAGCCGGGCCTTATCAGCCCCATGGCGTACTCCGAGATGACATTCAGACCAGGCGCCTGCCGTCCGTCAATTTATAAATGCCTTTCGTCAGTTTTCTTGCAAAATTGCAGGAGGTTACACTGCAGATTCTTAAATTAACTTGCCTGGTTCGTGGTGGCCGTGATAATGCTTATGGGGAGGGTGAAGACGAAGGACATGCCACAGGCGAAGACGAGGCCCCACCATGGGAGCTGAACCTGGTCGATGAGGACGGTGCAGAGGATGAGGGCCACTGCCATCGACAGTACCGTCAGCGAGTAGAACCACCATGCCGGTATGTCCTCGTACGTCCTCATCAGCTTCGTGTGGATGTCAGGATCCTCACGCCGCGAAACTCTGAACCGCTGGTAGATCTCCCTGCACATTGGTCCATGTCCCATTTCAGTTGAGATACCAGACGTGATCACGGCTGCGTCTGTTTGTCCATGTACGCACCGAGAGGAGAGCCCTTACTTCCCGTAGAAGAGGCCGACGTGCGAGATGGTGGCGGCGATGGTGGCGAAGCTGAGCCCGTAAGAGAGCGCAAAGAAGGTACTGATGTTGACCCTGCCGAGCTCATTGTAAGCGTCATAGTCGAGCTCGAACTGCTTGTTCACAATGGCGTTGATGTCGTAGTCCGTCCCGTTGGACATGAAGAGCTGCGTGGAGAAGAGGGGGAACGTCTTGGCGTGGTACAGGTTGGTCCCCCAGTACGCCGTGGGCACCAGCACCCAGACGAAGAAGACGTAGCCGACGAAGATGTTGGCGATGGCGAAGAAGGGCGTGATGAGCGGGCTGCCGAGGTAGGAGGCGACGGTCTCCCAGTCGAGGGTGAAGGCTCCGAGGCCCAGGCCTTTGAGGCCGGAGCCGAGCTGCTGCGCGGTCACCGACTTGGGGAACGCCCAGCACACCCATGCGATGGACGTCAGGCTCTGGAAGATGAAGCCTGGCAGGGCGTAATACGAGAAGCTGCAGATGAGCACCACCAGGAAGAACTTGAAGCGTGAGATTTGGCGCGAGCCCTTGGCGAACTCTTCCTTCTCGTGCAGTGCCCTGGTACAACAATGCAGGTGTTGTTACTTGTTAGTGTCGCGCTACATGTTGAGGCATGATTTCATGATAATTACTCCCTCCGATTTCAAAATAAGTTAGTCCAAAATTGGGCCATCTATTTTAGAACGGAGGGAATATATTAGATGACTATCACTTGCAACATCCTCAATCTAGTTGCTTACTAAAAATCATTATGTGTGGTGGTTTAATAATGGCTTGGTGTTTAGTAACCTGGAGTGGATCAATTAAAAACATGTGTGGTGGTTTCATTATTGTGAACCGTTGGCTCCTGCAAGCCTAGATATGGGCCCTTTGGGCCCCATCTGGGTCAGGGCGGGCCGTGGACTCCGGCGGGTCACTTCTGGCTGGTCTGGCGTGCTACAGGCGATGGGGGCGGTGGCTACCGTGCTGCGTCCGCTGCAGCGCGGCGGCGGGAGCTTAGCGGCCCGGTTTTGGGCCCAGTCGGACAGTTGGCCTGGTGTGCTCTTGCTGCTGCGTCCGGTCTGCTACCGCCTAAGCCGGTGGATGTTGTCCCCTCGCACGTGGCTACGGTATTGCCGGTCCCTGTATATGGTGGCTTCGTTTTGGTCCGGTCGGCCTTGCAGCGTTTGTCGTGGTGAGACAATGGTGGTGTCCTTGTGACTATGCTGGCGAATGTTGGTGGGCTGTAGGCATGGTGGAGCCGACGGTTGGTCCTGGGTTGTGGGTGTGAGGGGATGGGAGAAATCGCTGTCAGATCTGGTCGGCACCAACGTGGTGACATCTGTGGGCGCCACCCTTCTTGAAGGGCGTCGGGTGTACCTCTCCCCCACTCCCTTCCGTGTACCGGAAAAAAATCCTAGGACTTGTCCGGGCAGCAGCGTCGTCGTCGTTGCAGTTATTCTTGAAGGTGTTGCTTGGTACATGGTAATTCGATGGCATAAGAGCGTGGTGAAATTCTCTGGTGGGCGCAGGGTTGCGGGATACTGTACCTTTCATTGATTCGGTGCTGCTGGCATTTTTTCTCCTGTTTTCTATTTTAGGCATGATTGTGTTGTTTGCCCCAGTGAACTCACTGTTGTATCGGATGATTATCATATTAATATAGCGGGGCAAAAGTCTATTTCAAGAGAATGTAACTATTGTTGTGCCAGCGGATTGTATTTTGGTGTGGTGCTTTATATGCAAAGCCGGGTGAAAGCCTATTCCCTCTATGTCGGTGTGTAGCTAAATCCAATACTTATGCTTCACAGATTCTGCCGCTATTTTCCATCATCGTCCTTTGTATCTTTAATTAAGGAAAAAACTAACGCCCACACGTGTGGGCGTTTGCAGATCGCCCACACGTCTCCATCACCACTCATTTTGCCACGTATGAATAGATGACATCAGTAGAAATCTTTTTGGTTTCGGCTTAAAAATGTTTTATCTCCTAAATAAAAAAGCGAACTAAAAATCCGTTTTCACCATTAAATCCGTCTCGACGAGATCTTCAAAACTAGACCCCATGTTGATATGTTTCGACGAATTTTTTTTTGCACAGAAGTTGCCATGATGTTTACACTATAGTTGCCATAGCGCTTAAACTAAAGTTGCCATGTGGCAATTTTAGTTTGTAGATCATGGCAATTTTAGTTTTTTGATGATGACAATTCCAGTACTTTGATCATGAAATTAATTTTTTTATTGAACCATGGCAATTTTAAGTGCATGTATCATGGCAATTTTAGTTTATGGTGCATGGCAAGTCTAGTTTCTTAATTCTCCGTTCTATAATATGTTAAAATTTACTTTTAAATGTAAAATAAAATAGTTGGAACATATCATGACAACTTCAGTGTAAATATCATGGCAATTCATGTGCAATAGACATGGCAACTTTTAACAAAAAAAAATTCACCGAAATATATCGATATGAGATCTAGTTTTGAAGATCTCGTCGCGAGGGATTTAATGGTGAAAACGGATCTTCAATCGGATTTTTCATTTAAGAGATAAAACATTTTAAAAACTGAAAATCCGAAAAGATTCTCGCATGCATGCATGCGATGACGTGGCAATCTATTTGCATTAGAGACGTGTGGTGTGTTTTTTTTCCTACCACACGTGTGACAGTTATCGACGTCCTTAATTAATGACGGCCCGCCGCCTGGAGCCAATTTTAACACCTTGGGGCAAAGCGACGGCTACTGATAATACTATGTGCACAACTTGATTCTAGTATAAAAAACAGTGGCCTGTTCTCGGGAAAGATGGTTAACATACTTGACACTAAAATTATTAGCTCGGCCCAGCTTTTGGTTCTGTTAGTGGTTCTTGTCACTTTACCTAGGGGCAGTACCTTTCTCCATCGACTTCATCGACAAACTGGTGAAAATGCCAGTTGTAGTAGATGTACTACTATTTGTAGCTATGCGCGGTTTCTCTACCGAGTCGAGGACGAACCACAACGGACTGTTGAGCAACGGATACTCGTATAAATTTAGGCCTTCTTTGCTTCATAGGACAGGAATACTATAGGAATAGGAAAATTATAGAAGATGAGATGCCATGCATCTCAATTTCTATAGAGAAAAAAAATTCAATTAATTTATAGGATATGAATTTTTTCATTGAGTCTAGGCTAATATTTTTTCTCTTTGAAAAATAAAAGATTGATTTCTATCCTACATAGAAATATGTATCCACTCCTACAAATCAAAGGGCTCTAAAGAAATTTTCCTACAAAGTTTTTATCCTCTAAAATTCCTACAAAATTCCTCCAAACAAACCAAAGGAGGCTTTAATGGGGAAGTGCTTGGTTCGCCCGTCTCCAAAATGCAAAATCTAGTGGTAAAACCAACAAAAATCCAACCAACTCAAGCCATCAACGATGTGCGCTCTGTATATATATAGAGTAAAAAGAATGTAATAACGCAAGAAGGCGACCAAACGAACTCGAGTAGTGGGTATGGTGATCGTCAGAGGTGCTCACCGGAAGAGCGAAACCTGGACGAGCGTGCTCGGCCACCACATGTGCGCCGGCTCCACCACGTACTTGCGCATCAGCCCGGCCCAACCGTACCCAAGCACCTAGATCCATTTGATTTCGGTGCCACAGAGCACAAGTAAGAAAGAGTAGCATGAAAACTGTGCTCGGTGGCCATCAGAAAGAACACCAACGCATATAGTATGAACTACGTACCTGGGTGGTGATGATGAGGAGCCAGGCAGCGATGTAGGAGATGGAGCGGCCGTAGAAGGCGCGGATGATGTCGACGATCATGACGGCGTAGGCGTTGCCACCGCCGAAGGCGTAGCCGGCATTGGCGAAGATGGAGATGAGCACGTGCTCCTTCATGTTGAAGGGCCCCGGGTTGAGGCTCCACTCCCCGCCGCCGAGCAGCCCCGGCGCCCGGAACTTGCGGCGCGGCAGCACGCGCGCCAGGAAGTGGCCCATGGGCAGCGACGCCACTTGCACCGTGAGCGAGGTGATGACGAGCGGCTCCGTCCGGTAGGAGAAGAACTGGTTGAGGAAGCTCAGGAGCGAGCAGGAGAAGAGCCCGATGCTCCACATCCGGAACGTCCACACTGGCAGCGTCGGGTCGTCAACAGTGGGGACCGTTAGCCGCACCTGCTCGATCGGGGAATTCTCCTCCTCCGACGACTCCTCCAGTTTGCCGGGGGCGGCGGCGAGGCCGCGCTCGTCCGCTGCTGTCTCGCCCATTGCTATGTACGTATACCGGAGCAGGGGTCTGATGGCCCGGCCATTTATAGGGTGCTGGGGTTTCAGGGCGAGCAGCTACTATTATGTCCACGTTCTTTGGGCGTAACGTTTGCTTACCACATTAGTGTTGTCAGGCTTCTCCTAACAAAAGACTCGGATTAAATAGGGAAATGTTAACGCCCACACGTGTGGGCGTTCAACATTCCGACCACACGCCTCCATCTTCGTTGGCTTCGGTATGCACGAATCTTGTAGCAAACAGGCCGGTTTTCGGTGCCACGTAGGACGAGTCTCGTGTGCGGTGTGCAAGTCAGTTCACCCGCACGGTGGTTGCCATCCCGTGGTCAGCGGTTGCCACTCAGAGGCGTGCGGTGGAACTGCCATGCGCCCGCACGCCACGCTCCGACCACGGTTGACGTCAAACACGTCGCACACCCCTCCACCCTCTCCCTCACGGTTCCATTTTACTCACCTGCGACGCATTTATTGGCACAACCCACTCGCACTTGAAACCACTGGAAGAGAAGGCGAGAGGAGAAGGCGACGGCGGAGGCGGAACAATCGACGGTGTTCGCGGCTGTCGGTGGTGCTCGCCGGAGCGGAGCGGCTTCGCCGGAAGCCGTGCGGGTTGAAGGTAATGCTCGCTTCATCTCTTGCAACCACTTCCTGCATTTTTCCCCTTTCCCTCCCTGTTCGATCCCTAGATCGATTCATAGAGATTCTGGCGATTCGGCGGTGCGTCCGAAGTTGTCTGGTAGCCGTTTTTTTGTGGCACTGGGCAGTTTCGTCGCCGCCGCGGCTGCGACATCGTCGGTGCCGTTATGCCTGTTCCGAGGCACGCACTAGTCTTGCGCATGGATTTGGGAGGTGCCCCCCGGTTTGTTTTGATGCGCATTGGTTCGATTTTGTGTTTACAGTCAGTTCATGCGAGAATTTTGAGGGTGATTTTGAAGTCGAAGTAGTTGCCATTGAAACCTAGATCTAGTTAGGTTTGGTTTTGAAACTGTAGAACGAGGCGAACTTGGCAGAATGGCTGAACTTGGCAGAACGAGGTGAATTTTGTGTGGCAACTAAACTCACTGAACAAATGTGATAGTTGCCACAAACGTGTTTTCCTTTGCGGCAACAAAATACTGAAAATGTCTGTCATAGTTGCCACTTCAAGCTTTCACATATGGCAACTAATTCTATTGAATGACTATGATAGTTGCCACACCCACGTTCTTCCATGTGGCAAACTGAATTTTGCTGAATTTATATGATAGTAACCACAAACATGCTTTTTCATTGTGAGATCTATTTTTTTTCTGAATTATTTGTTATACTTTCCACACTTTGATAGTTGCCACAATCGGTAGTCAATGCAGTTTCGGCATCCAGCTGCACTGGACGGCAACTAATGTGCACATCGACTTTGCGTGTTTGCCACTTGGATTGTATAATCATGTGGCAAATAGAATGTGAATACAATGTCTGTTGCCACAATGCAGATATGACAGTGTGGCAAACTGGCTGCATAATATGGCAACCACATTTGCGCACCTATTGTGCCAGATGCCATATCATATCTGTTGCCACATCATGTCTGTTGCCATGTTACAGTCAGTATAATGTGGCATTTTCATTGTACTACGGACGCAATTTTTTCGTTTTGCCACACTGGCTTTTGTGATATGTGAACACACTCTGCCTGTTTTTTCAGGTTATCGATTCAGATGTGGTTTCATTGCTTTTTTTGTACTACAGTGGGCTAACATGGCAACTTCAACATTTTGTTTTCAAGTGTATTAACCAACATGCTTACTTGTCACGTTTATGTTCTCGACAATCATATGGGGGAGGGGGGGCCGCGTGCGTGTTCATGCTATATTTTTGCATTCACTAGTTGACATTTTCTGTTAGGTGGCAAATGCTTACCTCTTGCATTTACATTTCCCCCCTTAACAATTTGGTATGTTCCTACATCAGCAGAATGGCTCGTGGCGATCATCAAAATGATGACGACGATTTCATGGATCCACCACAGCGTAACCGGGTAACTGGACGGAGAAAAGAGGACGACGAGGTAACTGTCCACACACCCGCCCCATCTCCTCCCGATTTTTGTTATTGGTTGGCACCTATATCTTTTGTAGTCGTCTGTCATGAACTAAATTCTCATGACATTGCAAAACATGGCAACAGCTGATCACTTTTGTGTCTGTTTTTTGCAGAAAAAGAAACGAATTCGCAACAGAGCCTCCCAAGAACGACTGACTGCGTTGACTGACAAATTCAGCGATGATCAGAAGGGGGCTGCTGCTGAGATGGGCATGCAGTCTATGATTGCTGTCCGGTGCACGAACCTTGTCAACCCTGTATGCAACTGGCTTGGTGAGATCTACAAGCCTGCCTCCAGGGAATTCGTGATTCCTGGACGCGGAAGACTTCCGTTGAACGAGGAATCCGTGTTCTGCACTTTGGGTGTGCCTCGTGGACATATCAAAATCCCGTACGAGGTCAATAATGAGATCAAGGAAGCTATGTTCGCCCGTTTGTTTCCTGGATTGGAGTCCATGCCGAACACGTCTGTACTGGCAGATTCGCTGCGGGCCATGACGACGCACGGAGATGTTTTCAAGATGAAGTTACTCATATACCCCATCTCAGCTATTTTCGCGCCGACCACTTCCCTTCGCCCAAGCAACAAATGTTTCCCCATCCTGGTGAATGATCCATCCTTTCTACTTTATTTTCCTTCAATCTTATGGCTCCGATGTCATGTGTTAAGCTAATGACTGCAAGTGTTTTCGTTGTTATTTTTCGTTTGATTTCTGATGAGGCAAACTTTTTGCCCTGAAATTTTGTGTGGTGCAGGCGAATCTGAAAAATGTGAAGAACATGAACTGGTGTAAGTTTATTGCCGACTTTCTCCACGATGCTTTCAAAAACAAGATGTACCAGAAGGGTTGTCGACTGCATTTAATGGTATTTACTTTACCAGATCTCTGTGTGAACTCTTGTTTATAACACAGTTTTATTCATGCATGGCAACCCGATCATAACAAGATGGCAACTGCCATAATGACAATGTGGCAACTGCCATATTGACAATATGGCAACTGTCATACTGACAATGTGGCAACTGCCATCATATTATTAGCATGGCAACTGCTATCACAGTATGATGGCAACTGCCAGCACACTATGATGGCAACTAGCACATACATACTATCATTTGGACCATGCATTATCCTGCTCTTTTTCCCAACAACTACAGTACCCATGATGGCAACTAACATTTCTTTCTTTGTAAAACTGTTTTAAATCAGCTCATGTATGTCGACTGTCTTGATCTGTCCACCGTGGATTTCTCTGGGGTAGGAGGCCCGCCGCCTATGCACAAGTTTGCTGTTTCTGCGTGGACCATCAACGCTGTCAAGGCAGTGCTTGCCGTAGACAGGGCAACTGATACCACATATGGAAAACTACAGGTTAGTTTTTGTTTATCTCTTCACACGGCATGCTTACAAATTTGACATGAGGCAACCGTCCGTGGTTTATAAGGCATGCTTACAATTTCTTTTTGTTTTTCATAGCTGATGGCCAAGCATGCTATAGACTACATCGTGTTTGGGGGCCTCAAAAATTTGGAAAGTGGATGGACGTGCACTCAGCTCCGTCTTGCCCTTCTGAGGTAATCAAAATATCGACATCCATTGTTTGCCGTGGATTAGTTGTTGCTGTCCCGCAAGCAACTGCAATACGGGTTGTTGTTGATGCTTCTTGTTTTCGTGCACAGGCGAGGCCACCAGTTGAGCATCTAATTGGGCAGTTTGCATCCGGAATGACCGACTTGCTCGAGAAGTTGGTTGAGGGGTGGACGTCCCTCAGTGCCTCTGACAGCGATGCGGTTGCGAGGCAGTTCACTTCATTTGTCCCAGAACGTACACATCGACCAACCGGTTGCCGTGGCCGGTATGACTACAACAGTTCCCAAGAGCCCGGTGACACACAAGATGATGTAGATGGAGACGCTGGCCTCAGCAAGGATGACGACGATGACATGGATGATGTGCATCAGGACACGGATGGCGATGAACATGCTGAAGTTCGCACAGGCGCCAACAAGGGCAAGGATGCAACAGATGCCCCCCACTGGAGAAAGTGATAGAACATACGGCTGCGAGAGGCGAGGGGGTGTTGCCATCAAGGAGGGGGAGGGCTCCAGATGATGTTGGGCAGGGTTCGCATGGCAAGAGGTCTAGGACCGATCCCGTAGCTGCCAGGAGGAGGTTTGACTTTCAATTTTAGTTTTATGCTGTGTCTATTTTCTTGGAACAATCTCATCCATTTCTTTGCACTTGTTTTTTGTCAAGCGCGGCAATGGGTTTGTTGTCTGACAGTTGCCACCTTCCTTTTCCCCTCCATCTGTTACGTGTAGTGAGCCGACTGCTGGTGGACGAGCAGCTACGAAGAAACAGGCGCCAACACCAACCCGTGTTTCTGCTCGCTTGAACAAAGGTGCCCCCATTGTCGGTGACATCCCTTCCACCAGGTCTTCTCCTCGTACGACGACGACCAACACCGGGGATCCTGTCGTGTTGCCAGACCTGAGGAAGCCAGTCAAGAAGTATGTTCATCCATGTGCTTTCATTTACATAGTGGTATTTTTTCTTGAATTTCCAATGCTACTGATTCAGCTTGTCACATGTTCTTCTGTCATCGTCCCCTAGGCGGCAACCGCTGTTTTTCCAACTAATTTCTTCCTTCATTTTTTTAGTTTACGGCAACTCCTATTGGTCTTTACATGGCAACTGGCATCTAGGCCAACTGGCAACTAGCACTCTAGCTAATGGCAGCTGCCATCT